TCTGTAATCATATGTTCCCTAGAATCATATGTAATGCCGCAGTCAGGAAAAATCACTGCATTTTAGTGGTTCTTTCATTTCAAACTTTCGTTTCAGAGTAAAAATTATGAGCGTGTGTGTGTCTGTGTGTGTTTGTATATTTATGTGAGTGCGTGTGTGTACTGTGAGGCCTCCTCAGGAAATGGGTTTGGGTGGGGTGGTAATATGAGGTTGGAGAGACAGAAAAAGTTCTAAATTGGGCAGCGAAAAGCACAATGTCTCTACAGCTCTGTAGTGGTAAACAGTCTGTATAGAGAGGAACAGCTGTTGTTTATTTTTAAGACATGAAATTATATAACCTCATGTACAGAGCTATTATATAACTTTATAATATATAAGGTGCATTTAAAATTTTCTACGATGTGAACGAGTCCCTAGATATGGATGAGATCCGTTCCATCCACAAGGTGGAAATAACAAGGAAGAGCATGCTTCTCAACAAGCAGCACTTCTGAGTTTATATCTCACAATTCAGACTTTTTTCTTGTGTCTGTGTGTTTTTTCTGCCATGAAACAAAAAGTTCCAATTGTAATTGCAAAATTGTAATTGCAAAATCTCACAATTCAGACTTATCTTTTCAGAATTGCAAGTTTATATCTTACAATTCTGGATTTATATCTCGGGAATTCTAAGATTTTTTTTTTTTAAGAATTGTTAGAACAAAGACAGAAATGTGAAACATAAACTCAGAATTGTGAAAAAAAGTCAGAAATTTGAGTAAAAAGTTACTTACAATTATGTTTTTTTTTCATTGATGGAAACAAGCTTCCATTGGACAGATCTAAATCCCTAACACTGTTTGAGTAATAGAGTGAATGTAAAAGTGAATTACTGAATCAATTATTTGTGTGAGAGTTTGAGTGGGCCCATGTTTCAGTCATGCACTGGAGTCTGAAAATGTGTGTTTTTAGGAGACAAATGCACATGGGAAAATAAATCAGACAAGCACATTCCAACCAGGAACATTTTGACTCCTGCACCTGCTGGTCAAATCACTGTCCTCCTGCAAATCTAGTTTCACACACATACAGAATTGCAGAGCAGGTTTAGTTTTGAATATAGACTGGGATGATAAAAGCAAAAGGAACATGGACTCTGATGCAGCAACTAAAATAATACTTATATCCTTCCCTTCAGAGTCCCATGATGTCTTTGTGCCGCCTCATGTTGCTCAGCGATGCATGCTGAGAATTACAGTAATTACCTCTAATGACAGTCAGCTCAGAATGAGAACCTTCCCTGTAAACAACATACATGATTCTCTCTGATGTCTTACGTTTAGCCTGAGATCTACATTTTGTGTCTTAGTTTTTTTTATCTTTGTGATGAACTTTCTAAATTAAACTATTCTGGTATAATCAGTTTCACAGACTGAAAAAGCATACATTTTTAAAATTAATTACTTTTTTTAAATGATAAAAAAATCAGGTGTCATTTATAATATGAATTTTTTTTTGCATTAATTAATTCATATTTATATTATGTACACCAATATAGTATAACATACATATTGTATTTATATATTTAGATTTAAATTGTATCTTTTGTTACCATGTTTGCTTTTTTGTGTTGTTTTGTTTTGTTTTGTTTAACTATAATTTTTCAGCTGTAACTACTTTTCAATTCAATTTCAATTCAACTCAATCAGAGTTTTGTCTTCAAAATAAAAAGAACTTACACTAATTTGCATTCATTTTCTTTAATATATTTTCACTTTAATATATAATTCTAATATGCTGATTTGATGCTTAAGAAACATTTCTTATTATTATTAGTGTTGAAATCAGTAGTGCTGCTTAAAATATTTGTGGGAAATTTGTTTTTCCCAAATCCCCCCCCCAAATTTCAAATGCATTAACTGTCACTTTTGATCAATTTAATCCTTGCTAAATAAAAGTTTAATTTCTTTAAAAAAAAAACTGACGCCAAATGATATGTTAATGGTGCATTCTCATTTCCCACTCCCCCCCCCCCCCCCCCCCCCAGGATACTTTGATTAATAGAAAGTTCAAAAGAACAGGATTTATTTGAATTATAAATATTTAGGAACATTTAAAATGCTTAAAATTAACTGTCACTTTTGATCAGTTTAATCCTTGCTAAATAAAAGTTTAATTTCTTTTTAAAAAAAACTGACGCCAAATGATATGTTAAGGGTGCATTCTCATTTCCCACTGCTAAATTGCAATGCAATACTATCTTACGTTGTAATTCAACACTGCAGTCAGTTTGATCCAGCTGTAATGCCATTTTATTTTCACAATACTGAGATCAGTGTCTCGACCATGGCAGATTATGTGCACCATTTGTATGAGTGAAAGACAGCAGTATGTTGTATCAACATGAGAACTTTATATTTTGTAGATATAGTGACATTATCTGAGGCCGCCACTGACCGTGCAAGGAAGTATTTGGTTTCACAGTCACTTGAATTAAACTTTATACTTTTTGCACCTTCCAATAAGAAAAAACTCTTTTACATTTTCCACATTATCACTGGTCTCCTGGGATTTCAAGGTTGTGGCAATGATTTTTAAGGCCGTGAACATCATGCACATGAATGCATAAAAAGTGTGGAGCAACATAATCAAAGTAGAGCATCTGAAAAGGAGGTTAGCATGTCCCTGAGGACAGGAGAGAAGGATTTCAGACACAGAGAGCTCCTCTTTTGTGTGTGAGAGAGAGTTTCAGTATCAGACAATGTCAGTGGTTATGCAACTAAAGGCACAAGTTAATGGCAAAGGCAGCCTCCAGCAATGTGTGTGTATCTGACAATGAATAATTCTTTTGAATTTCATCATCATTGAACAACATGCACAATACAAACTGACAGGTTAAACAAACAAGATACTTCCATGTAATATTGTGTATTAGCGTGTGATTTCACATACATGCCCAGAACTAGAATCTCAATTCTATGAACATTTTATATATATATATATATATATATATATAAGCTTTAAATGTGAAAATAACAATGAAAATCTTAAAAATGCATGCAGTTATAGTGTACCAAAATACATTGTGCTATGATAAAAACAATAAATATGTAGAACATGTAGTGTGTTGATAGTGAATTTATATAGTACTTTGTTAACACACTGATAAACGTTTGAAGAGTTGTGTACATAAAAATATAAAATGATCATCTAAAAAAGATACTGACACTATTTGTCAAACTTATTAAGCCAAACTGTAAAACGTTTAAGGAATTACTGATTACTTAATTAGTGATCAAACAGCCAATAATGTAAAATGTCCATAACTGTATGTAGCTTTTGTGTAAATTAGGAAGGACAGAAATCTCCAAACATCAGAAACCATACGTATTCCGGCTTAAACAAGTACCAGATGCATATGTATAGATGATGTGAAAACCGTTCAGAGTGTGTGAAGTTTCCAGCAGTATAGCAGCTGTTTTTTCTGGAACAGTGAAAGTGTGTGTATGAGACAAGAAAGAAGAAAGAAGTTTCCAGATGTTAGTTCTGGATCAGTGAGCGTACAGCAGCCAGCCCTGATAAACACACACTGCGCTTGGAGAATCCCTGAACATCCATGAACCACAGCACTTCAATCAGAAAACCCTAAAAAACTGCCTGTGTGATGTATCGACAACATCCATTCAATTAAAGTGGCAACTTTTTTGCTTAATTATAGGATATATCATATAATAAACGTGAACTGGTTGTGTAACTTTACATATTTCTGGCATAGATTAGAACATGCTCTTCAGAGAGCTCTTAAATTTTATTGTGTGGTTTCCAGGCAACAACAAATGAATAAAGTTGTAAACAGTTGTGCAATGAAGCTCATTGAAGAGGCCCTGATAGAGAGCTCTTATGTGGAGTAGTGAAAACTTAAAAAATACTGCCATCTACAGATGCAAAAGCATTATAAATATTGTCAAATGTGCATGTATGCTGTGAAGATACATGCATGTTAGAGCAGTAGTGATTCCAAGGCCACTCTTTTCCCATCCTTTCTAAGATGTACTAACGTACTACTGTAATAAAACAAATTGTAGCAAAAAAAGTTTTTTTATTGTTATCATTTTAATTAAGATTATGCAACTATAGCTCAATAATTGTAAGACTTGTTGGGGCTCCTCTGGATGTCCAAGGCCCCTTAATGAGCCCCGGACCCCTACTATTTTATAGTAGCCGACAAAATTTAACTCGACACACTACAATCTCACTGTGTGAACTTTAGTGCATTATACACTAAATATCAAACCATGCTGCAATATCAATCCTTTTCTCAGAAAAAAAATCTCATTTTGTCAAGTGCATCTATTGTTTTATTTTAAACTTGTAAATGAATGCTTGTGCTCTTTCTTTAAAATAAATATGATTTTTTTTTCTCCTTATCATACATCTATAGTCCAAAATACTTCTTTGGGCCACTGTACACTAAACTGTTCAAAGGATTTTGAAGAAATCAATACTTTTTAGCAAGAATCCATTGAATTAAGACATTTATATGGTTACAAGAAACATTTGTATTTTAAATAAATGCTGTTCTTTTGAGCTTTCTATTCATCAAAGAACCCTGAAAAAAATGTTACGGTTTCCACAAAAATATTAAGCATTATTAATTTATTTTTAATTCATTATTATTAATTAGCAATATTAAGTTTCTTTAGCACCGATTCGGCATATTAGTATGATTTCTGAAGGATCATGTGATACTAAAGATTCGATTAATGGCTGCTGAAAAATCAGCTTTGCCATCACAGGAATAAATTACATTTTAAAATATATTAAAATAGAAAACCGTTCTTTTACACTGTAATGATCTTTCACAATATCACTGTTCTACTGTAGTATTTTTCATCAAATAAATGCAGCCTTGGTGAGCAGAAGAGACTTTAAAGCACCTTTCTGACTCCCCCGACATTTGAAATGTCAAATACAGGCCAACATAATTGCATTTAAGACTCCTTTTGATTACCATATCTGCAGATACTCAGCACTGCAGCTTTAAACTGTTTATTAACAGTCCAGGTTCACACTGTCTCAAATACAGAAACATTCCAAAACCAATCTCTCACACACACACACAAGCAATAGAGTTGTAAAAGCAGACATTCACACGTTACTATTGTTCTGCTGTGGACAAATGAGCAGAACACATTGAGAAGCACTTTAATTCTAGTGGATCAGTCAAGTGTCAGGGGTCAAACTTTAGTTAAACGATAATAAGAAAACTATTAGAACTAAAAGGGGTACAAATAAACTGCATCAAAAAAGTTGGAAGACCAAGACACATCCTAAAATCCACTGAAACATAGAAGGTAAGACTTTATTTTGATAGTCCACTTTAGACATTCAGCTACCTTTAAATAACTTTGCAACTCCATGTCAACTAGCAGTCATTAGAGTATTAGCAGACTGTCTGCTTAATATCTACTAACACTATATATTTAAAGTCGCTCAACAGATGTTCTACTGATTGTTAGTAACTTTGCAAGTACGGCAACATATTTTACTAACACTAACCTAACAGTCTACAAATGCTCTAATGAGAGTTAGTTGACATGTAGTTGCAAAGTTACTTAGAATGTCTAAATGGACTATCGTAATAAAGTGTAACCAACTAAATTTAAAGAAACAGGGTGTGGAAAATGAGTGAAACTCATTTAAAGAGCACAAATGTCCTAAAAAACATGAACTAATGGAAGCATCTTTCGGTGTCAAACAATAATGAATCACCACACATACACACATTAATTAATAAACAAGTGTTAATTCAGGTATTTTCTAGTTTTCCGGGGGGGGAAAATGAAGCTGAACTCTAGTTGGAAGAAAAAACATTTAAAACAGCAAACTGAACATTCTGGCTTTATATAACAGGCATCCAAAAAGCTCAAATAATAAAATATTTACAAAGTAAAGCACAAAAGCTTTCTTATCCCAAAAAGCCTCATTTACAACAGATTCACAGTGAGATTGTTGTTTGAGCTTGGTTATTTTGCTCAGAATTTGTATGGGGAATATTGCAACTGTGAGTCGTGAAATTCCGTAAAGTAAGTCCTAATATTCCTCTGTCACACACACACTCTAGAGATACTGCATAGCAAGGAGTGTAATAATTAAAACTAGACAGGTGGAAAAGAGAAAACACAAACTAGCGGCAAGAAAAAGAGAAAAGCACAACCACATCAATCTTTCAGAGGAAGCTATGACATCACATGTGACATCAAGCTTAATGAGCGCTGCCAGGGCACTACTGTAGCGATGTGGTTTGTGCGATGTGGTTTGTGTGGTGGTTTTGTGAGCAGTGAGCGAGAGGCAGTTCCTCTCCAGTTCACTAGGTGTCCTCCTCCAGCACACCCACTCCTCTTCTCCTGAGCACATCGGCTCCGTCTGCTCGCTGCCACTCTTCAGTCTTTCCACTGTACTCATCATCATCATCATCATCATCCTCTTCCTCTCCATCTGCTTCCTGTTCATCTTCCAACTGCTGCAGGAGACGTACCTGCCCAGCAGGCAGTTTCCCTACAGAAACATTAACACGCCAGATCATTACAGTTTAAGTTTTAATGAATCTCTGGTGCATTACATGTCCCTGTAGTCAGCAGGCAGGTTCATATAAACATTTACACTTACGGTGGTGATAATTTGGTGCAAACCGCCGTGACGGGAAAGCAAAATCGGCGATGAAAACTAGTACCTGAGAGAAAGAATATAAAATAAAATCAGAGACATTTCATTCACAAACGATTCCAATAGAGTTTAATGTTAGCATGTTCAAAGCTAATGACGCAATATTCTAATAACCTTAAAAGCACACGACATTCAATTTTACTTTAGACATTTACATCTAAGATTTTGGATCAATTCGTTTGTTGCAATGTATTCTGGGATTACCCACTCCAATATTAACACTTGAAACATATCTTATTTGCACAACCGTTAGTAAATTTGGGGTCAGTAATACTTTAAAAAATATATTAATACTTGAATTTAGCAAGGATGTATTAAATTGATCCAAATTGACAGTAAAGACATTTATAATGTTCCAAAATATTTCTATTTCAAATAAATACTGAACTTTCTATTCACCAAAGGAACCCTGAAAAAATATGTATCACCGTTTCCACAAATTATTCAGCAGCAACTCGTATAAACAAATGTTTTTTCAACAAATCAGCATATTAGAATGTTTTCTGAAGGATCATGTGACACTTTACAGTGTCTTTACAGGAGTAATTGCTGCTAAAAAATACAGCTTTGCCATCAAAAATAAATTACAGTCTAATATAGAGATATATTAAAATATCAAAGGTATTTTAAATTGTAATAATATTTCATAAGATTACTGTTTTCACTGCATTTTTGATCAACTAATGATCAAAAGCAATTATGGTGAGCACAAAATACTTTTTTTAAAACCATTAAAAACCATACAACCTTAAAGGGATAGTTCACCCCAAAATGAAAATGTGATGTTTATCTGCTCACCCCCAGGGCATCCAAGATGTAGGTGACTTTGTTTCTTCAGTAGAACACAAATGATGATTTTAACTTTAACCGCTGCAGTCTATCAGTCATATAATGCATGGCAATGGTAACAAAATCTATAAGAGTAAAAAAAACATGCACAGACAAATCCAAATTAAACCCTGCGGCTCGTGACGACACATTGATGTCCTAAGACACGAAACAATCGGTTTGTGCCAGAAACCGAACAGTATTTATATAATTTTTTACCTCTAATACAGCACTATGTCCAACTTCCTTGAGCGCGCGCACGGCATCCGGTGCGTGAGGTGTGTATGCGCTCTGGCGTAGTTTACGTTAAAGGGGGTGTGTTGATATCCAGCCGAAGGGCAATCAACCATAACTTCAGGCGAGCAGGCTCAGAAGTTGGGAATACGTGGAAAGTCACCACTCCCGAATGAGTTTGTGCGAGAGAACGTAATCTTTTAGTTTTAAGTCGGTTTGAACAATCCAGAGATAAGCGCAAGTAAGTACCATTTTGATTAGCCGTCGTACCTACAATGACTGTGCACTGTGTAACAAATGAGTGACGTATACGCGCGAGAGGTCACTTCCGGCGCTTGTGTAAACTACGCCAGAGCGCGTACACACCTCATCCCATTTCAAAATGTTATTTATGTCGCCAGGTCACAAGCAGGATAATTTACAGTCAGGCAATCTTTATTGCAGGGTGATATGAGTCACCTCTGCCGTAAGTCAGAGGTTTATTTTGCATTATTGACTGGCTGACTATATTATCTCTCAGTGTCTGCTACTAGTTCCTTCACCATTAGCTTGAGGTATAAACTATTTGTGCCTGTAAGTTATAACTCTAAATTATTCAAAGAATTGCTAGGAAAATAGTGTATATAATTTCAAAAATTAATTCTCAAAACTGACAAGAATGCAACAGCTATATATTAATAGGCATACACACTCACCCTGATGAACATGGATAACTTGAAGAGGGCTGACATTGCGTTCATCCTAAAATAAAATAAAGTCAATCACAGAAACTATATCAAATCAAATGTAAAGATAGCCTGTCAGTATTACATTAAAAGTGAGCTAACTTGTGAATCAGCATTAACCACATGCTGTGGATTCTCTAAACTCCCTTTTCTAGAGATATTGCCAGACTCGCCCAGGGCCACTGCATTATTATCCCATTTGAAACCAGCCCCAGCACACACCCACATACACAGCATGTACTCACAGGAAGGATGAAGGGCCAAACCAGGAAGAGACCGGCTCTATGCTCTGCCATTTCTTTTCATCAATGAAGCTCAGGAAGTCATCTTTAGATCGAGCGCCTTGATATCGCCGAAACGCACCATCTTTACAGCTGCAACACACGGATACGAACAGCCATGTTTAACCATTTATAACTGCCTTTACACCACACAGAGACTCTGTAGACATCTGAAAACAAGACAAATGCTGATGTGTATCCATTTAAACAATCGTTCAAAAGATCATATCAAAAACGACAGTAAAGTCTTCAATAGTTCACAACTACTAATACTTTTTTTAATTTAATCAAATCTATCACCAATTACATCAGATCACTGACTTCTATAGAAAGGGTTAAAAGAACACTCCACTATTTTTGAAAATAGGCTCATTCTCCAACTCCCCTAGAGTTAAACAGTTGAGTTTTACCGTTTTCAAATCCATTCAGCCGATTTCCGGGTCTGGCGGTAGCACTTTTAGCTTAGCATAGATCATTGAATCTGATTAGACCGTAAGCATCTCGCTCAAAAATGACCACAGAGTTTCTATATTTTTACTATATAGGACCTTTGCTGCCGTAGTGGAGTGTTCCTTTAAATGCGTGTAAGACGGAACGAAACTCACTGGTAGATAGTTGGGAGAGCTGTGATAATGAACCTCCCGCTCAAACCTGCAGCACAGAGAGAGAGAGACAAGTGTGAGAATCATAAAGACGGGCGATCAGGTGAGCAGAGGAACCAGATGTGTACAGATAGCGGCATACCTGGCTGCTCGGTGACATCCACTTTGGCAATATTCACTCCCAAATCTTCTCCCCATTCTGCAAACTCATTCCACACGGGCTGGAGCTGCTGGCAGGCTGGACACCACGGAGCAAAGCTGCAGCAGACAGGCAAACCTTTTAATCCAATAACACAATCCCAGCCAGAGGAGACACAAAGACAACGAGGCTCATTTGTTTTCCATCGGATCTATTTAACTACAATCCTCTTGTTCGATTGCTCTAGCTGGAGGAAGTGTGCAGGGGAAACAATGGTTTATTTCGACTTAAACATTTTTTGAAGAGATTTCATTAAAGGGACAGTGAAAATCCTGACATCATTTACTCACAGTCATGTTGTTAAAGGGGTCATATGATGCTGCTAAAAAGAACATCATTTTGTGTATTTGGTGTAATGAAATGTGTTTATGCGGTTTAAGGTTCAAAAAACACATTATTTTCCACAAACTGTGCATTATTGTTTCTCCTCTATACCCCGCCTTTCTGAAACGTGTCGATTTTTACAAAGCTCATCGGTCTGAAAAAGCGAGGTGTGCTGTGATTGGCCAGCAATCTGCGTTGTGATTGTCCGAATACCTCAAGCGTGTGATGGAAATGTTACGTCCCTTACCATATTATGATGCCTGCGGTAACCACATGTGACGACCCTGGGCTGGACTTCGCTTCGTCCACAGTGAAAGCCGATCCGGCGATCGACAGCTCGAAGTTGAAGTATTTCCTCAGCGACCAGCACCTCCACTGCTTTGATTCAAAGCTCTGTCTGTGCATTGGTCAATATATGAGCTACCATGTGTTTGCAATTAAAGAGCTTTGAAAGGTGTTGATGAGTCATATCAGTGAAAGGAAAGACTAAGCACACAGTAAATAGATGCTGTCAGTCTAGGTTCAGTCTGCCAAAGCCTTATATTATTAAAGGCATTTATGCAGTCAAGGTTCTGAACAGTCAATAACAATGGAAGTTCAAATCATCTCATATAAACAGAACGAGCCCAGAGATTATTTATTTGAAGCTGAGATGGCATTCATAAATGCATTTAGCAAACATCAATATTTCTAGACAAGCAGTTTCAGTTATGATGTGTGCAGAAAGAAAAATACCTAAGCCAGTCCCAAGCTTATTTCTGCTTCAAAAGCTTTCTTTTTTTCTTATTTTTTTTTTCTTTTCTTTTTTTTTTTGGTCGGTCCTTTGTACAGAGATGATTCAATGACACAGCATTCACTGTTTCACGCAAGACCTATTGTTTGATCCTGGAAATAAACAGATTTTGACATTGCTGAAAATAACAAAAACATATGAACTCAAATGGGGAAAAAATAAATAAAACATAATGGTTTGATCCAGTGCATTGACATTTTGTATGTTGTGTGAACGAAGTTAAATATAAAAAATTGCTTATTTTGCATGTATTTATTAAAAAAATGGGTATGTCTGGCCCTGTGGATGTTTCATAATTAAACTCTCCTACAACACACGTTTCATATTCTCAGTTGTGTGTAATTTATCTGAAATGTCACTTACACCACTTTTCAGTTATGTACTATGTTTGACAACTTTCTGTGGTGGACATAAAAGTGGTGAAAATGATATTGAAACAATTTTGGAATAAAACAGCTGACTCGTTTTTTTATTTATTTTTTGCTAGCTAGGATTCATTGCTAGCATTTTATGCATCTCAAATTGCATATTTTCACACTTGAATAATTTGACAAAATTACAGCTAATTGGAAATGCAATAAAAATGTTCCATTTACATATCATGCATGTCAAGTGTCCTCACACACACCATGTCTCATATTTCATCTCAAGCATGCTCTACACTGATAATTGTGTTTCCTTGGTAACCAAAGATAATAACTGTGGTAGAAACTGATATAAATCATTTTTACACCATATAATGAAATGGTTTGTCATTATTTCACTCTATGTTTAGATTATAATAATTTTTAAAATAGGCTATAATAATTATTATTTAATGATGAATTTTAAAAAGCATATCTGGGTCTGAGATTGATAAAATAATACATTAAAGAAAAGAAAAGAAAAGAAAGGCAAGGCAAGTTTATTTATAGCACATTTCATACACAATGGTTATTCAAAGTGCTTTACATAAAAGAAAATAAAATAATTATAAAAAATAATCACAACAATAAAACAAGGAATTTAAAAACTTTAAAAATGATTTTAAAATGTATTTAAAATGAATTTAAAACAGTTAAGAATAGAAAATGCTTATACATAGAATATAGTGCAATCAGTTCGGACATCGCACAGTGCTCATTCAATAAATGCACAGCTAAACAGATGAGTTTTGAGTCTGGATTTAAATGTGACTAATGTTTTAGCACATCTGATCTCTTCTGGAAGCTCATTCCAACTGCGGGCGGCATAATAACTAAAAGAAAAGCTAACGTTCTGACAAGTTATAAACACACATTCTTCCATTAAAAATTGTTTGCTCACAGTTATCTGGTCTTTTATGTTCTCAAAACATTACTATAAAAACAATAACGTTTCCATAACTTAACGGTAATGTTTGCAACAGTGTTGGGGAAAATTACTTTTAAAAGTAATGCATTACAATACTGCGTTATTCCCTTAAAAAGTAATTTTTTTACTTAGTTACTTTTTATGGAAGGTAATGCATTGTGTTACTTTTGCGTTACTTTTTAAATCTGAGCTGGGCTTGCTTGTTTGTTTTCAATAGAAAAAAGTTATATTTTTGGCAAAGCCCTTTTATGCCAAAAGTGAAATGAATAAGCCTCAGGCTGAAGGAAATGTAAATTCACTTCTTTACAGTAGAGGGTGCAGCTCAAACAAACCTTTTTATTTGTGCTGCCATTCTGGATTAGATGAAGAATTGGATGCAGGATAAGTCAATTCAACTCTCTTCAGCAATAGGCCAATAATAATAATAATAAAGAAACACAAATGTTATGTTTATCTAAATTCATTAGATTTTCTCTCAACACAGGGAGGAGAGCTGTCAGTCAATAAATGAGAAAACAAAGTAACTGGCGTTAATTATTTGAAAAAGTAACTCAGATATTTACTTCTAAATTTAAAAGTAATGCGTTACTTTACTAGTTACTTGAAAAAGTAATCTGTAGTAACTCGCGTTACCCCCAAAACTGGTTAGCAAAACATTCTTAAAATATTTAGCTGGGCAGGAAAAAAACTAAAATGTGTAAAATTATTTTTTTATGTAATTTAAAGAGTCTCTGTCCATTGCACTTAATACCTTAACATTCCATCCGGTTATCACCGTCTACGGAGTGTTACGCTGTGACAGTTCTCACTGACGTCTGTGCACACACACACACACACACACACACACACGACAGCATGCACGTGGGAGGAGAGAAAACACCGGAGACAGCATGAATAGGAGTAGGTGGATAGAGAAATCTACTTTCCCTTCTAGTTTTCATCCTCTCCCTCTCATCCTCAATCTGAAACTGGCTTTTACCTGTTATGCAAGGCACTGCCTACTCTCAGCATTATAGAAAGAAGCGGGTTCATTTTCAGACCTACCAAAAATAAATCCTCATGAACTACTGCCACACACATATGCTAATGGACAGGCATACTCATAAAAATGCTATTATAGATGCGGGTTGTCTTCATTAGATTGCAGTACAGCTTTTATATAACTGTGGATGATGAACAGCTTGTGCACACAGACAGAAGAAAGAAAGAAAAAAGAACGTAACACTAAATCCACACACAGGACACACACACACACACACACACACACACACACACTCAACTCTACAACAACCTCAATACACCCACACACACTCTCCTGCACTCCTCTACTGGCACTCACGTTTCAGAGGCTCACACGTGTTTAAAAACACATGACACACTACAACACAGAGGTCAAAAATTTGGTCAAATCAATAGCAGCTGCACTGTAAAATTTTCCACACACCTGACAAACATCACCTAGATTATTCTAAAACACAGCATTAAATTCCTGTCAGTGATCGCAAGAAAGTCAATGCATAACAAACATCAATAGCATTATTTGCAGCTGTTACTGTAATCTGTGACAGTTTTTCAATGGCTTTGAGGGTGGTCAACCTTTTTTGTTTAGCAAGGTGAACTGCAATCTAAATATTTTTTAAAGAAACAATACAGTTATTGTGATATAACTGTGATGTGTAACTCTATAATAATGTGATAAATAATTACAGCAGGCCTATGTTTTGTTGTATAACGTCTGGATATAGACAGGTGTCTATATCGGATGGCTGTCTAAAAAACATTGTGTATAAATTATATCTACACATTTAAGTCACCATAAAAGTTTGTCTGAACAGAAGCTGAGAGCCAAAGAGAGCAGTTGCAGAGACGTTGTAGGTTTACTGTGCAGCTGCGAGTACAATCACTATCCCTACCGGTATTTAGAGATGAGGAAAAGCACAGTTTGGTCAGAGGTCATTAGAGGTTTTTTTTAGTATAGGCCTTTAATATAGTACGAGTTTCTCCAATTTGTTCTGAAGCTTGGAGAATTAAATATATAAGCATTTTATCAATAAATAATTCATCAACATAAAACAAATATCAAGTGAAAGAAGAATCAAGTGATTTCATTCATAAACGTTAACTGAAATTTACATTTACATTTAATCATTTAGCAAATGCCTTTATCCAAAGTGACTTATAAATGAGAAGAACAATAGAAGCAATCAGACCAATAAGAGAGCAACATAATACAAGTGCTGTGACTAGTCTCTGTTAGTCTAGCACAGTACACATAGCAAGGTGTTTGTTTGTTTTAAATAAATTAGAGCGAATAGAATAGAATAGAATAGTTAAGTGCTCGTATTAATTGGTCAGGTGCTGGCGAAAAAGATGTGTCTTTAAATTTTTTTTGAAAATGGCTAAAGACTCAGCTGCTCGAACTGAGATAGGCAGGTCATTCCACTAACTGGGAACAGTCCAGGAAAACGTCTGTGAGAGTGATTTTGAATACATTTTTTAAAAGAAGCTTTTTTTCTAGCTAGTTCCCAAGGCAACATTTCTCATTTTCATTTGGTTTAACTTGAAATACTAAAATAACTCAAACTAAATAAATAAAAATTTATAAAAACTATAGGCCCTATTTAAAAAAAAAAAAACTAATAAAAATGACAAAATTACTAAAACTTTCCAAATATTTCAAAATATTAACAAAAAGTATATCAACAATTATAAACACAGTTTCATGCAGTCTTAGACAATATTTTAAAGAAATAATATGTGTGTGCAGTGCAGGCATGTTGGTTGCATTTGAGTTGGCTTTGCACACATTTGTATAATTTTTCCATAGACATTAATTCTCTCATAATTTTCTTGGATTCATTTGTTTTTAAGATCAAGATCTAAGCATCTCCTTGAAGACTGACATGCAAATATCACTGACTCTCAACTCTGAGAACCTCAGTAATATACTGGCCCCAGTTTAGAGCCTTCTCTGTGACCCAATTACTGTCATAAGAATAAAAATGATTAAGCAATTAATTTCCCCCCACCAAGCCTCTCTCACACTGATACTCACGAGAGTGGCACATGGACAAAATTCACATGGCTCTCAATCACGGCCTTGTAACACACACACACACACACACACACACACACACTCAACTCTACAACAACCTCAATACACCCACACACACTCTCCTGCACTCCTCTACTGGCACTCACGTTTCAGAGGCTCACACGTGTTTAAAACACATGACACACTACAACACAGAGGTCAAAAATTTGGTCAAATCAATAGCAGCTGCACTGTAAAATTTTCCACACACCTGACAAACATCACCTAGATTATTCTAAAACACAGCATTACCTTCCTGTCAGTGATCGCAAGAAAGTCAATGCATAACAAACATCAATAGCATTATTTGCAGCTGTTACTGTAATCTGTGACAGTTTTTCAATGGCTTTGAGGGTGGTCAACCTTTTTTGTTTAGCAAGGTGAACTGCAATCTAAATATTTTTTAAAGAAACAATACAGTTATTGTGATATAACTGTGATGTGTAACTCTATAATAATGTGATAAATAATTACAGCAGGCCTATGTTTTGTTGTATAACGTCTGGATATAGACAGGTGTCTATATCGGATGGCTGTCTAAAAAACATTGTGTATAAATTATATCTACACATTTAAGTCACCATAAAAGTTTGTCTGAACAGATAACGTTTTTGTTGAGAGGTAACCATAGCAACAACTGCTGGATCGCCGTCTATTGGATGGAATCGACAAAAAATTGCGCGTTGGACACATTTTCTCTTTTGTATTATTTTGATCTATCTGCTATAATTATCACCACCTTGCAATTATGAAAGAACATTTCAGATTTAGCTCCCAGACATGTTTTGCTGTCAAACACTAGAGCTGAAGAGTGACTTGTGATGTAGCTTACATACACACACCTTAAGCGGCGTTGGATAGGAAAATCAGGCGCGCTGTTAGAGCAGGTGCACTACCACAAACATTGGCTGTGTCTCAATTTCATCAAGCACTTATGCCATACTTTGCATCATCAGTTTGATTGGATTCCTGGAACTCATCACGTAAACCGACAGCGATTTTATGCAGTAGCTGTTAGCGCTCGTGCACCAGTCAGCCTACGCCCACCGAATTTATACCGCCCCCTCCTCTATCCTCCGGTGCATACGGAGAACGCGAAGGAGACGCGTACGTACAGAGCTGCTATCGGAGGGAATATTCCGTTTTCGGTCATAGGAAGTCTCCGAATCCGGCTCGAACAACAAGATGGATGAAATGGAAGAAGAGTTGAAATGCCCGGTGTGCGGCTCGTTTTTCCGCGAGCCGATCATCCTGCCGTGCTCGCATAATATCTGCCTGGCCTGCGCGAGAAACATCCTAGTGCAGACGCCCGACGCCGAATCCCCGCAGAGCAGCCGCGCGTCAGGCTCCGGCGTCTCCGATTATGATTACTTAGACCTGGATAAGATGAGTCTGTACAGCGAGGCGGACAGCGGATACGGCTCTTACGGCGGGTTCGTGAGCGCACCGACCACCCCGTGCCAAAAGTCCCCAAACGGGGTGCGCGTTTTCCCCCCTAGCGTGCCTCATCCGGCCCAGGTGCAACACCACCTGCTGCCTCACACCGGCGTCCTGCCGCCGGTCCCGCGAAACTCTTGCCTCACCTGCCCGCAGTGCCATCGCAGCCTGACGCTGGATGACCGGGGGCTCCGGGGCTTCCCCAAGAACCGTGTTCTGGAGGGGGTTGTGGACCGGTACCAGCAGAGTAAAGCGGCCGCGCTTAAGTGCCAGCTGTGCGAGAAGAGCCCCCGCGAGGCGACGGTCATGTGCGAGCAGTGCGACGTGTTCTATTGCGATCCGTGCCGCCTACGGTGCCACCCGCCCCGGGGTCCGCTAGCCAAACACCGGCTCGTGCCGCCGGCGCAAGGAAGAATCAGCCGCCGCGCGAGTCCCAGAAAGACCTCCACCTGCACCGAGCACGAGCTGGAGAACCTGAGTATGTACTGCGTCCAGTGTAAGACCCCCGTGTGCTACCAGTGTCTGGAGGACGGCAAACACTCCACTCACGAGGTCAAAGCTCTGGGGGCCATGTGGAAGCTCCACAAGGTGGGGAAACTGGTTGAGATTGTTGTTTACAATTTTTTTTAAAAAATCCTAGTTGGTTTAAGCTGGTCTAACAGATGAACAACCTGGTCTGGATGTCTCACAGTCTGGGCTGGTCTTCAGTTGGTTTGGTCCGCTACACTCTTAAAAATAAAGGTTCCAAAAGTAGGTTTTCACACATTGATGCTAGAGAAGAAGAATCTTTCAGTGAAAAGTTCTATAAAAAAACATTATTTTCTTAGTCTAAAGAATACTGTAAAGAATCTTTTTTTTGTTCACTGTAAATAATCTTTTGTGCAGTGGAAAGATTCCATGAATGTTAAACGTTATTCATGGAACCAATGCCAATAAAGAACCTCTATTTTTAAGAGTGTGCAGCCTAAACCATTTTAAAACCAGCTCAAATCTCCTTTCAGTGGGCTGAGCACTCTGGTTTTAGTATAAGAGGACTAGTGCAGTTAGACTTGTCACTGTGACGGGTGAGACACCACCGGTCTAATTAAAACACAGAGCACGACACAACCAGCCATGATTCAGGCCAAATGAAAAACACTTGCGCACCGGCTCTCCAGCTTAGATTCAACATAAAAAAAACAAAAGTAATTCAAATCCAAGTATTCAAGGCAAAATTTTTGATGGAAAATATATGTTTGTATGGATTTCGAGGCGTCTATGATTATAACTGCAGTGCACATTCAGTGCTGTTTTGAAGTTATGGAGGTTTAATGCTCCTGTGATGTTGTGTTATTTTCAAAATATCTGTTGATGGGAACTCAACCGTACAGGATGCTTGTGTTAACTGTGTGACTGGATTCCTCAGGGAACATGTAAAACTGCAGTGGCCGTGGCCTGTTGTTGTAGCAACATGATATAGTGAGGCAGTGAGCTGATTTACTATGTCTGTCTGTGGAAGAGAAAGACTGTATACATAGGAGAGGCGAAGAATAAGGAAAGAGTCCCCGCTCTCACTCCTAGTCCCAACATGCTGCTTTATCCAAGATAATAAAATTGTGAGGGAGTTAATTTAGCAGTAAACCATCAGCAATACCATTTTATTTAATCAGAAACCATAAACATGAGCAATCAACAAGGATGGAGGTGGATCAATAAGTACATGGTTTAACATGGCTCACACAGGTTATGCCTGTACATTACTTTAGCATTTAGAAATATTGTTGGTGTGAGACCACCTAGTGGTGCTCCAATATTAAATATTCTGGGTGATATTACCTGATAATTGTCATGTTATGGCTGAAAAGTGATAAATGGGGGTTACACTTTATTTTAAGGTCTCCTTGTTACAGTGTAATTATACATTTAAGTACTGCGTAATATTAATTAACTACATGTACTTACGATATGGTTAGGGTTAGGATTAGGGTTTGTCGTAGGGTTACTTAAATGTAATTATGCATAATTAATTGTTATTATAATAGTGTCACGTTACGCTGTTGAGGGAACACGCTGGAGTCACGAGGAAACGTTTAACAGTCTTTAATCACGAAACACAGGAGATAATCCACAATAGGAGCTTGAGCCAACACACGTAGAGAACGAGTAGACCTGACAAACACAAACTGAACAGACTAGGACTTTTAAACACTGAATAACGAGGGACAAAATAGACACAGCTGGAAACAAATTAGCACAATTAACATGAGGAAAAACTGGGTCACGGGGAGCAAAACACAGATAGTCAGATAGTCCAGAACCCTGACATATCGTCCCCCTCCCGGAAGGTGCGTCCTCGCACCGTAGAACAACAGAGGGGGGAAATGGGTGGGAACTAAGGAGGAGGCTCAGGAGGAGGACGGATGTCCGGGAGGGGGCCGGCAGACAGAGTCCAGGGAGGAGACGATGGAGGGAGGAGCTAGGGAGGAGACAGGAGGGGCTTGGAGCAGGAGGAGCCAAGCAGGACCCAGGCCACAGCCATGATGGCGACCCACGGTGGAGCCGACGGAGGGAGGAGCCATGGAGGAGGAATGGCCGCCGACTCCAGGGGGACGACCAACGGCGGCGGAGCAGGTGGTGGAGGAGCTCAAGGCGGAGACGGAAAGCCAACGGATGCCGAGGATCCGGGGGGCCAGGGTGGAGCTGAGGGCTCTGGCGACTGAGGCGGAGATCTGCGGCGGAGCCGGAGCGACTGAGGACCCAGGTGGAGCCGACGGGAGGAAGGAGCCCAATGGAGCCGGTGGGATGGAGCAACGAGGTGCAGCCAGAGGAGCGGAGTCCTGAGGCGATGGCGGGTCGACGCCCGACCAAGGTGGAGCCGGAGGGACGAGGGAGCCTGGTGGATCGACGGGTGATGGTGGAGGCGAGGGAGCTAGGAGCCGAGGTGGAGCCACTTGGTTTACGGGCCGAGGCGGAGTCCGGGCCTCAGAGGCGGAGGTGAGGGATTCTCCAGCCAAGGCGACGCTGGAGGATGGCAGACCCGCGGAGCTCGCACAGTAATGATGGTGGGCTGAGAGCGAGCAGAGGGGCTGCCAGACAATAGCGGCGGAGGAGGCAGGAGCGGGTGGGTGGATGGGCATTTGTGAGTCCCCGGGCATTCAGGGCTTAACTCTGGATCGGAAGCCCCCTCTAGGCTGAACACGGGAACAGGATGGTGCTCAGGAGGAGTGGACACTTGAGGGCGCTTACGAGGAGCTGGCACTGGAGGGCGCTCTGGACTGGTTTCGGGGACTGGAGCCCTCTCCTCTTTGCTTTGGCACTTTCGCCGCGCCATATTCAGCTCACCCTCAGCCGCGGAGCAGGGGGCAGAGCTCCTCTCCACGCTCACACCGTCCACGGCTTTCTCCCTCGTGGCAGGCATTGTCGCCGGCTCTCGCACCTGGTCTGACGAGTTGAGCTCTACGTTCGGTGTGATCCTCTGCTCAGTCGCTTGGCATTGCGCTGGCTCGTAGATCGCGGCGGGAATTGGCTCTCTGTCATCGGTGGGCTCGGGCTTTAGCGCCGCACAGCGGGGAGATAGTGAGCTGGGCTCTGGGTCCGGAGTGGATCTGGTTTCTCGCCAGAATCCACTCCACCAACGCGGTGAAATCCGCTTGAGGACCATCTTCGGACGACTGCGCTCTGCACGCGGTGTTTAAACTTGCGTCGTAGAACGCACAGAGTGCATTGTCCGGGTAGCTGCTGGTGTTAGCTAGCAGCTGGAACAGTCTAGTATGGTCCTCAAGTGATCTCTCCCCCTGCTCCAGCTGGAGGAGGAGATATTCCGTGTGAAGGAGGGCATCCATGAGGAAACAACGGAAAAAAGACCCTGGGTAAAAATGGGAAACAAAACGGAGGGTTGACACAGAAAGGTTACTGTTTTGGTCAGGTCTTCTGTCACGTTACGCTGTTGAGGGAACTCGCTGGAGTCACGAGGAAACGTTTAACACTCTTTAATCATGAAACACAGGAGATAATCCACAATAGGAGCTTGAGCCAACACACGTAGAGAACGAGCAGACCTGACAAACACAAACTGAACAGACTAGGGCTGGGTCCGAAATCGCCCCCTATACCCTTAAATAGGGCACTATTTGAGGGAACAGCCATTTTTAGTGGTGTCCAAAACCATAGTGGACGTTCTCGAGTGCACTCATTCAATCCCACAATGCACTGCAAAAACGAGTGTACAACTGGTGCACGCTCAACGAATAGAGAATAACCATAATGCACCGTGAGAGTCACGTGCCGAATTAATTCCCGCATCTCGCCAGAAGATGGCGCCCAATCCTTTCATTTTTACAAAACGCTCATCCATGGCTTACAGCGCAATGTACAACACGGGTATAAATTCATTGTAAATTGATTATTAAATTGTTTGATTAGGGTTTATACATAATTTTCGTGACAGAGTTCAAGATAAATCCTTTAATTTTGCTACTGAAGCTGTTAGTTTGCTAGTTTCAAATGATTAATAAACAGCAAGCACAAACTATGCAAAAGCTGCATTCCTTCCGGTGCACTCAGTGTCCGAATTCACTACTCGTTTTCATTCACTCCTTCTAGTGAACTGAATTAGTGACCTAATGTAGGGAATAGTGAATGAGGGTATAGGGGGCGATTTCGGACACAGCCTAGGACTTTTAAACACTGGATAACGAGGGACAAAATAGACACAGCTGGAAACAAATTAACACGAGGAAAAACTGGGTCACGGGGAACAAAACACACACAGATAGTCCAGAACCCTGAGTACATGTAACATGTCTAACAAGGGCACCTTAAAATAAAGTGTTACCTAAATGGGCAATATTAAAATTCTGGTTAATACACTGAAATTTTTAATACACGTTTTAAATGCTATAAATGTATTAAGGTACCACAGTGTTAGTATGAAAATTGATATTCATTATGAGATTTGCTGAAGATTCCTTTTAATGATGTTATTAAATGATTGGTATTAGATTAACTCTATGTGAGTGATAGATGAAAAATTCTGTTCTTTTGAGTTTTCTATTCATCAAAGAATCCTGAAATTATTCATGTTTAAAGCAGTTCTGCTGCTTAATATTTTTGTGGAAACTGATAAATTTTTTGTATCACAGTTTCTATGAAAATATTAAGCAGCACAACTGATTTTAATATTGATAATAATAAGGAATGTTTTTTTAGCACCAAATCAGCATATTAGAATGATTTCTGAAGGATCATATCATACGGAATACTGGAGTAATTATGCTGAAAATTCAGCTTTGCCATCACAGAAATAAATTACATTATAAAATATATAATTGTCATAATATTTCACAATATTTCTGTTTTTACTGTATTTTTTATCAAATGAAGGCAAGCTTTTTTCCAAAACATTTAAAATCTTACCGACCACAAACGTTTGAACAGTTATGTATATCTAATATTGACTGATAAATTACTATACATTTTAAATCTGTTAATCAAGAAATCAAATCAAATAATTAAAAATAGTACATTTCTGGAATTTGGTTGCATTTTATTTTGTAATTTGGCTTAACTGCTGTTGTATGGTACTAACATTCAACCCTCTGTCACTTTTGTAGTAGGTAAGGAGACATTTTCAGGTGCAGACAGATGTGAGAGCAGAAAAAATTACCCAGCATAAGGAAACCATTCCAATTCACTGTCCACCCCCTCATTTCGAGCACTGCATTACTCCATGTGTTGAGCTACATTATTTTGTGTGTTAAGTTACATTACTCTCTGTTCCGTGCTCCATGTGTGATGTTGTGGCTACTGTATCAGTTTGAACTGGGACAGCAGCAGCATCACGGCAGACCCAAATACGGCTTCCCCCTTTTAGCACTTGGGACACACACACATGCACGCACAGATCAGATCTTGGATCAGTGTCCTCTACTGTGGTCCCATATGTAGCTGTTTCACTGAACACTGGCATGCTGGCCTCATATCAGAGGAAAATGCCCTCTTTCCGCACTGCAGACACTTGCTCGTCATTCACTAAACAGATTGTAGATTTGCTGTAGCCTCAGGGCACCATATGCTTCTATTTTTCTCCATTTCTCCATCTATCTTTCCGTGTTACATACACAGACACTTACACAGCAAGCAGGAAATGGGGCCTGTGATGTGTTGATGCTCGGAAAGTCATATTCCTGCTTTTTTGCAACAGTGCAAAATATGTACAATTTTAATATTTTAATTGGTAAAATAGTAGTCCACACATGGCCAATGTCGATATCTAGAGTGCTGGGTGTCAGATATAACAATGCTATATATAAAACTTTGTATTTTTTAACAGTTCACTTATTTTGCATGGTTATTTTACAGACATTACAGATTTTACTTACTGTTTACTAAATTATAAACAAAAATTGTTTATTTTTCAGTGAAAAGGCTGTCGTTCGATTTTGGAACTGGTTTATTACTAGTGCAAAACATACATTGCTAAAGATTTATAGTAAAGTTCAAATGCAGCAGAATGATGATTTCAATCTGTTCCAGAGCAGAGATGGATGATTTTCATCTTTTCTCTCAAAGTATGCAATTTTGCACCACTAGCGCAGTCAAATGGAAATTGGGAAAAAAAGATTGGTTCTAAACATGTTTCCCAAATATTCTTGTTGCCCTTTTTACCAATCCCATTATCCCATTGTGACTAACTCCTTCAAGGTAAGAGAACTCTTGTGATAATACCTTTACAGTTGTTGGCAAGACCAAGGTAAGACACTGCATGTGAGTGTGGAATAAATGTTAACTAATAGATATCACCATACATCCCAAGTTGATTAATCACAATACATTAAGACAATTGTTTTGTATTACATGTTTTCTGAAGTGTTATGTTTAAATATGCAAATGAGGCATTATCTCATTAAATATGCACAAATATGCATACGTTTTTCAGAATGGAAATTTGAACATTGGATAAAGCCAGGTTCAAAATTCTTATTTCATTTTGTTGACCAAGTTAAAGGTTTTTACAGAAATAAATTTTCTCCATATTTTTAGAAATAAAATGTGATATAAATTAGGTGAATGATATATGAACAACCCCTCTGTAAAAAAAAAACACTTCAGAATATAAATAGGAGTTCAACTTTTGAACTTGCCGTCTGCACGTGTTACTGAAGTGGAGATTTCTGACTCTGTGCAGGAAAAAAACTTGTTTTGATAAAATTGCCTTTTAAAGATATGCATTTCAATTAAAATCTGCAGATGCCAATGCATAAAGGATAATAAACTCTTAAATGTGTATTTTGGATGTTTTCTTTCCACTAGTCTGAAATAAGACATGACAACAGGCCAAAATCTCAAAATTGACCAGTGCAAGAAAAAACAAGCATTCTGCCTGTGGTGTTTTGCCCTAATTATTTAACTAATGGGTTTGTAGAAACTGGGCCCTTATTACAGAAGCAACCAAACTCTAGAATCCTGTCCTATCTGTTTAGCACACTCTAAAAAATGCTGGGTTAAAAAGAGACAAACCCAGCTACTGGGTTGTTTCGATTGTTCAAAACAACCCAACCGCTGGGTCAAAACAACCCAATAGCTGGGTTTGTCCCTTTTTAACCCAGCATTTTTTAGAGTGCAACAATGGTGATTTCAGCTCTCAAATGCTTAAGATAGGATGTTTCTGTAACACTGCCCCTGCTGGGTTCTCATCGTAGAACTTTAGAATGTCTAGGATGTTATGTATTAGTTTAGTGTGTAATGCTGTAATGTGCTGGGCTTTAGTGTGTGAGGCTGTCATGTAGGACTCTAGTATGTAATGTTCTAGTGCGTAATGCTGTAGTGTATATGGCTGTGATTTAGTATGTAGGCCATAGAATGAAATTTGGAGCACTGTGTTTCATTCCTTGTTCTCTCATTTTTGTTCCTCGTTTGAGAACAGACCACAAATGAAAGTGGAGGTCTCTTGGCGGATGGTTGCCATAGCAATGTGAGAGCATTTATAATGGGATATTTTTCCCACTCTATAGTAACATTCTTTCACTTTGCCTGACGCACACACATTGACTCCTCTTCCTATTCTCTCACCCACTCTTTAAATGACAGATTTAATGACTAACCTCTCACAAATTATGTCACTTCCCCTCTCTGTTGTTAGATTTTGGAACTGGTTTATCCAAAAAGCTTTAGAAAGGTTCACACATAACCTAAGTCCATTACTAGAACTTTAGTAAAATTAGGTTAGTAATGTTCAATTGCTCTTTATATATAGTTCTTCCTATATCTTCTCACATCTCTGTCTCCTTCTGTCTTTATATTTCCAGGGACAGCTCTCTCAAGCACTAAATGTTCTGTCTGATCGGGCCACAGAGGCCAAAGAGTTCTTGGTGCAGCTCAGAAATATGGTACAACACATACAGGTACAGCAGTGACACACACTAACACTTATGCACTCGTACACACACCTGTGCAGTGCTATATCAATTTTTATGATCTGATTTTTTCCTCACCTTGTGTTTCAGGAGAATGGAGTTGAATTCGAGGCATGTCTGGTCGCCCAGTGTGATGCTCTGATTGAAGCTCTCAACCGCAGGAAAGCTCAGCTTCTCAGCAGAGTAACCAAAGAACATGAACACAAACTCACAGTAAGCACAACCACACAAAACATCCCCAAAGTTAATCTCTAAGATAAAAATAGTATGCCGCTTGTTTTACATAAATGTGACAAGAATTGTACACTGTAAGAAAATAAATATGTAGAAAAATGGAAAAGGTAGTATATGTTCTGACAGGATATTTTCTGTGAAGTTTATGGACATTTCCTTTAAAACCTAAAACAAAATCTAATATTTAATTCAAAATATGAGTAAAACACCTGTGAAATATCAATACAGAAAATTATTTTATATTATTGAGCCATATAGTATTTTTACGGATTTGTGGAGTGTAGTGAGATGAACTACAGGGCAGCAGGAACTCTTGCATAGAGATATGCATTATCATATAGAACACGGCAAGATGGTTAAAAGCATAAACCAATTATCCAGCCTGCTGTTTCTAGAGTTTTTAAAGAGATGACATGCAACATTCATTTCTCAGTTATTGGGTTTCATTCCTCATTTTTAGGAGTTCATTAATAAACAACAAAAGCAGAATGACAGATCTCTGTACTATTTTCAAGGTAAAAATGGATCTGGGGCTAATTATGTTTTTACTAATTACTAATTATTAAAAGTCGATTTGATTTCTTAATTGGAGGTTTAGCGAGTGCCACCTTAAAGCTTTTTAATAGAAGTGATGAATTAATTAAATTAACAAGTTTTTTTTTTTCAATTGCAAGAGGATTATTTTTTTATTAAATTTTTTTTAGCTTTGTAGAAATAGAACTACAGTAAAATACATTGAAAACACATAGTCCACCCAAAAATATTATTCCAAACCTGTCAGACTTTGTTGCTACTGTGGAACACAAAATAAGATATATATAAAGAAGATATACAAAAATAAATCAATAGGAACAGAAACTGTTTTTTTATCAGAATTCTTAAAAATATCTTATTTTGACTCTAGCAGAAGAAAGTAAGTCATACGGGTTTGAAACGACTTGAGGGTGAGCAAATGATGATAGAATTTAATTTAATGTTTGATTTATTAAAATGTGTTTAACTTACATTCATGGAAATCTCAACACATTTCTGTATTAGGGCAACAGATGACTGGGCACTGTGTATAATTCCTATTTTCCATTTAAAAATTCATTAAATCTCTTTTCTGCCAAAGTTGGATTCAGAATGGACTCCGATTGCTCAGAATGCTTTAGGCAGCAGGGCTAATCAGCAGCCATTGCTGGTGTGTCAAAACAGCCTATTTCTAGCCAAAGCTTCTATGCCATATAAAAAGGGTTTCTTTCATGGGGGGAATGCAGCTTAATGGATACAAATCTGGGCTATTAACACGGAGATATTAGGTTTAACCTCGAGTCATTGTGTCCTTGAATCAGACTCTGAATCCCAGGCTGATCCAGTGAGACTGCATCTATAGTTAGTGTGCTTCAATTCTCTTTGGTTGAAATGCAGCTGAAATAAACTAAATGTAAAATCAGTGTGCTGTTAAGCAGTCTTAAGAATTCTAGTCAGTTCATCTATAATGCACTAACATGACCCTGATTTTGGGTAGTTGTTAAATGACGTGTCCAGATTGAAATGTATGCAAATGTAAAAGTTGATTTGCATATTTGAGGTGCTTTTAGTGCTTACCATTTCTTTTAAGTTTTATATAATCTTTAATCCACCCTTTTTTCAATTAAATGACAAAAGCATTTTAAAAAAACTCTAAATTTCTTTAATTACAAACCAGCTTGAGTGATTAAATTAAAGGTGCTGTATGTAGGATTGACAACTAGTGGTTGAACTAGGTATTGCATATATTGGAGAGGGGTTTTTTTCACCCTGGGCCCTCCTCCTCAGACTTGACATGCATGTTGCCAGATTGAGGACACCAACAGGAACGAGCGCACATGACGATGAATGAAATGAAATATGCTGTGTTTTCCGCAAACTGGCAACCCGGGGTGCCGAAATACAATTGGGTAAACTGGCAGTGGGCGGGTTACACAGACCAAAACAAAGACAGACATTCCGTCCCGGAACGCACATTTTCAAAGGAGAATAACTGTCTGTAGCATTGTTTTTCAGATAAACAAGTATGTTAACTTAACATGTTTCTTAAATATCTGCAAATATATTATGATATTTTTATGCTTTAGTAGAGTCAAAAACTTACATACAGCACCTTTAACTCAACTAATTTGCAGTAGATTTCTCTTTCTCTCTGAAAAAAAACTGAGTAAAATTGTATCATTTTGTGAGAATTTTTAAGCTAAATTTAATTGTCAAAAAATAGTTCAACCAAAAATAAATAAAATTGCTGAAAATATACCCACCCTTATGTCATACAAGATATAGATGAGTTTGTTTATTCATTGGAGCAAATCTGGAAAAATTTGCACTACATCACTTACTTGCTCACCAATGGATCCTCTGCAGTGAATGGGTGCCGTCAGAATGAGAGTCCAAACAGCTGATAAAAACATTACAATAATCCACAAATAATAAACACAACTCCAGTCCATCCATTAACGTCTTGTTAAGTAAAAATCTGTGTGTTTGTAAGAAACAAATCCATCATTAAGGCACTTTAACTTTAAACTGTTCTTTGGCTTCTGGCCAAAATATATAATAATCCATAATCCATAATGATGCTTCCTCCAGTGAAGCATTATTATTCAGTTATAGTTTTTAGTTAGATTAAATTGTGGTCTACTTTTCACTTTTTACTTTTCAAGTCAATTAATGTTACTGTTACTTTTGGCATATATAGATGTTTGTTTTTTTACATTGAAAGATGACACATATATTTGTGAGTTATGAAGGGAAATGTAATGTTACAATTGTACTGGTCCTGGTCTAGTATTTGAGCATTGGTGCTTTTGCTAGCATCTTTTATAGGCCTATTCTCCTTTCTTGTCTCCATACTGCCACAGGCCTGTTCCCATGGTTACAAAGATGTTGGGGTTCTAGTTTTGACCAGTGGCTCTGCGAGATGAGACTGCATTTATTCAGTTCTGTCTGGTTCTGTCTCATACTGTTTGGATTTGAATGGCTTTCATGTGAAGTGTTTTATGTTTGAATCATTCAATGTGGTTAAATGCTCTCTGAGACTGTCTGCAGCTTTGGAGGACATGTGTGTGTGTATTAGTGTGTACTTGTGCATCATGTAAAGGAGATGTAACTGGTAGGTTTAAGTAGAAGTTGGAGTGGCACACACGGACACATACATTAATCCACTGAAATAGCAGACATGAAGTGCAAATGGATTTTAATATGTTTTTTTTGTTGTTGTAAAAGGTCAGTTATGTGTTTGCTGCTCAGAGAGGATGCTGACAATTGGTCTTGCTGTTGCCTAGCAACCCTACCACAGCACAGTTATCATGAATTTATTCCTTCTCTTTCTTTTTGTCTCAGGTGGTTCGTGATCAGATATCCCACTGCACGCTGAAGTTGAGGCAGACCACAGGACTAATGGAATACTGTCTGGAAGTTATCAAAGAAAACGATCCCAGCGGCTTCCTCCAGGTCATTGGCCCTTTTAGTATCACACTAATAAACCTCATCTGCTGACACGGGCCAGAAAGTTAGGATGATTATACACTAGAGAAAGATCAGATGAAACTTTTAATGGATGGGAATGCATCAGCTATTTTAAGGATGTACCAAGATCCAAATCAGTTTTCAGTAGAGCAAATTGGATTTCCAAAGACTGGACCGCTTCTCTGAAATTCTTATTGGTCAATGAAGTCCTTCGTCAGAGTGCACTGCAGTGTTTTCCTCAACCTTTGCTCTGCTCTAAAATATTTAATTGGTTAGATATTAGGGGTGAAACATATGTATATGTAGGTACCATATTTCATTTTTTTTTTCTGTATTGGTCAGTATTAGATATTTCTGCATGCTCCTTTTATCAGTTTTTATTTTATTTTTATTTGGATTACCTTTGCCATCATCGAACACTCATTTAAGTTATTTTTTAAAAACTTTTTTACTTTTTTATTTAAAAAATAATAGTCTTATTTTTAGCAAATCTCAGAATTAATATAAATCTGTAATGTAATAAAAATATATAATTTTGTGATGCCAAACTTCACTTGTAGCATTTTAAAAGCATTTTTATTTTTTACAAAAGTGTGTTTTTATTTGAAAAATAATGAAGTAATAATAATTATAAAAATTAAATGATAAAATTATTATTAAAATAATAGTCATCAGCCATAATTTTATACTCTATGGTTTGGCGATGTCTACATTCATTTGCATATTTTTAAAAAGTATTTTGAATTTAATTTATAGTGTCTCATTTTTTAATTTTTATAAAAAAATAGTAGTTTTATATTTTTTATATATTATAATAATACATTTAATATATATTAACAACATGTTAAAATAATTTTAATAGCGGCCTTTTTTCAAGTATCAATAATAATAAAATAATTGGCTTATTGTTGTTGGCCAGAACTTTAATATCTATACTAGTAGATATTATTATATTGCTCTTTGTGAGTGTTGTGCAAAACTGGTTGTAAGCCAGTGTAACATCATTGGTCTCTTGAGGACCTTGGTGAAGACTTTTGTACAATTCACTAAGATTAAAAAAGACTAGATATACAAATGGAAAACTGCTTAGAAATTACTCATAAATGAGTGGAGAGGGCATGGAAAGGTCATGGAAATATATTCGTTAAAAAGTGTGTGATCCTATAAAACTTTTCCTCGAATACAAGCACTCTTGCTCAATGACACCTTGCCTTTCAAAACTTTTCTGATCACAAAATGTTTCTTGCTCCAAGGATTCTTATTAAATTAACAGAAGGTCATACATTTACATGATGGCAACACTTCATTAATTTGACTTAATGCCGTGTAATATATTCTGAATCACAGTCTGTGTGTGTGTGTGTGTAGATCTCAGATGCTCTGATAAGACGGGTCCATATGACGGAGAATCAGTGGGGGAAGGGTTCTCTGACCCCTCGCATGAGCAGTGACTTTGACCTGACGCTGGACAGCGGACCCCTGCTGCAGACCATACACCAGTTAGACTTCATCCAGATGAAGGGTGAGTCTGTGAGAGGGTGTGTTTCATTTTTTTGCATGGCTTTCCTTAATGACACAGTAAGACAGAACACTGGACCCAAAATAACCCAGTCTGCCTTTGTTTGTGGCTTTTTGTGTGTGTTTAGTTCCAGCTGCTCCTATTCTTCAGTTAGAGGAGTGCTGTACTCAAACCAACAGTGCGACTCTGTCGTGGAAACAGCCGCCTCTCTCCACCATTGCTGTGGATGGCTACATTTTAGAACTGGATGATGGGAATGGAGGCCAGTTCAGAGTGAGTGTCACATAGTGAACCCTTCAGTGCTAATTGCATTCTCAGGATTAGATATGCATTACCGGTCAAAAGATTGGAATAATTAAGGTTTTTTAAATGTTTGAAAAGGATGAAAAGTCTCTTATGCTTACCAAGACTGCATTTATTTGATAATATATATATATATATCATATATTTTAAAATAAAATTTTTTAAATAAAATTGATTCCTGTGATGCAAAGCTGAATTTTCAGCAGCCATTGCTCCAGTCACATGAACCTTCAGAAATCATTTTAATATGCTGATTCGGTGCTCAAATAAATGCAGCCTTGGTGACCATTAGAGACTTCTTTCAAAAATATTAACCTCAATTTAAAAAATCGTAATTATTCCAAACCTTTAACTACCATTCTGCTGCTCAAAAGCATCTTTCAGAATTGACAGCCATTCTGAAGTTATTATATTGCAATTAAGATGAATGGGAATTATTAGATTCTTGATCCAGGTATCAGACAGTTCTGAGCTTGAATGGGCATGTTGCTGAGCAGAATGCAACAAAAAGTGTGGGGCTAGAAAAGCTTGATATGTCCTAAATTGGAGCCTAATTGATCGGCCAGTATTTCAACTCCACACATTAATTTTCAGTATGGAACTAAAGCTGTGCAAAATCATGTATGGAAATACACAGCACTGATTAAATTTATGATAAAAGTACTGCATCGTAGAATAGTACAGATATTTTCATAGCAGCATCGAGCTAAACTGCTATAATAATGACTATTCCAAGGAAATCCTACAGAGCCCATACATTATTATTTTTTGGACACTGCATGATGATTCTGCTCAGCTGACTCAATGATCTGTCAAAAAGAAAGAGGTTTTGCTCTAAAGGAACAAAAATTGGAGTAAACATTGTTCATGCATATACGCACGCAAGTACACATCTGATGTGAGTGTGCATTGTATTAATATAGTGATATTGTTGAGCGTGGGTTTGTCATTTGGCAGTGAGCAGTCAGAATGAGTGACGTTCATTTGAATGATGAGGAACACGCATGTATTTCCAATAGATCAAGTCCACAAACATGGTGTCTCATCTCACATTTGCTGCAAAATGCCTGAGTCTAAAGATGATTCATGTCCCTCACTGCAGAAGTCTATTTATATTAGAGAACCACTGCACCCACAAACACCGATTTACACGATCACACATGCATGCATGAACACACACAACCACTGTCACTCACTGGCCCCGTTTACACTTGGCATTAAAGGGATAGTTCACCCAAAAATGAAAATTCTGTCATCAACTACTCACCCTCATTTCATTCCAAACACGTAAGACCTTCGTTCATCTTCGGAACACAAATTAAGATATTTTTGATGAAATAATTTTGATAAATTAATTTTTTTTAACTATTCTTCTAGTATTGTGTATTTATTTTTCATTTAATATAAGTTCTGAACAGAACTTTGTGATATTTCAAAACATAATGAAATACTTTAGCCACAAATTTCATCATGGAGCGAAGGCAGAGCAGTGTTTCTGATCAGTTGAGCGAGGAGCTGGAAATGCTGAAGTGATTATTGAATGCTTGGAGTGCGGAGGAGAAATTGTTGACGCTCCACTTTGCTCATATATTCTGATCACAAGTGACCAATTGTGATTTATTTTCATTTCATTTCGGGGTTACAAACCATTTAAAAGTTAAATTTTTGGGGTTCATATATTTTTTAATGGTTTTGAAAGAAGTCTTTTATGCTCATCAAAGCTGCATTTATTTGATTAAAATGCAGTAAAAAAAGCAATATTGGAAAATATATATATTGTGTTTTCTATTTAAATATAACTTATTCTTGTGATAGCAAAGCTGAATTCTCAGCCGTCATTACTCCAGTCTTCAGTGTCACATGATCCTTGATATCATTCTAATATGCTGATTTGGTGCTCAAGAAATATTTCTTAAAGAGCAGGTCATATGGTATTTTAAAGTGTCCTAATATTGTGTTGGAGTCCACTACAACAGGTTTAAATGCATCTAAGGTCAGAAAACATTGTAATTTTCTCAGAATATACATTTAATATTAGAGTCATATGCCAATGATTTCGAAATGATTCGTTCCAAGCAACTTCGGAGCAAACCCCTCCCTTCTATAAGCCTACTCTGCTCTGATTGGTCAGCTGGCCAAGCCTGTTGTGATTAGCACAGAGAGGAGTCCTTGAGCTAGTTAGCGAGCGCTACCATTGACAAAGCACCTTTACATAAAACAATAATATAGTGCTCCAATCCGTTCTTAAAATAATGACATAAAATACAAAAACACTTTTGCAAGCGAATCGTGCCCACAGCTAAAGTTTAGCTGCTAAACTGTGAATACTTAAAACAATAATGGTGGATACGTTAGCCGAGTGCTAACGTGGCTAACTGATGAAACAATACAGTTTGTAAACCAAAATATGTCTACTGTAATGTTTGAAGAATGACAGACAGAAGACGCTCTGTCTTAACTTTTAATCAGAACGCAGAACAGCTGTATCACAGGCGCAGCAGCCGAACTAACTCGCTCGTCTCTCCCGTATTAACACTATAACTGCCGGTGCAGCAAAATAAACAGCAATTTCACAATGATTATAAAGTCAGTGCGCTACACTACATTCTTTATTTCTGTTACACAAATACACAAAATAATGGTCTTTAAAAAAGCATCATATGACCCCTTTAATATTTTTTGTGGAAACCATGACACATTTTCTTTTTAGAATTATTTAATGAATAGAAAGTTCAAAAGAACAGCATGTATTTGAAATAGAAATCTTTTGTTACAACATAAAAGTCTTCACTGTTACTTTTTGATCAATTTAATTTATTTAATTACAAAAACATTATTTTCTTTCAAAGAAGTCTTTGAATAATGATTTGATTTGAGTAATCTGATCATAAAATGAATCACCTGAGATTAAACTTAGATGCTTTTACCATATATAGCCACACACACTCACACTTACACATATGCATTGAAATACTCTCTCTTAGACACACATGTTGTCACCTATACATTGACACACACACACACACACACACACACACACACACATACTACCCTCTAAACAGGCCAAGCTCTTATTTTAGAAAGTCAGGTTCATGTGTTCTCATATTTGCTCCATTTTCGGGTAGATTTTTAGCAACAGTATCACATTGTGTTTTTCCCAAGATATTCATCAGCATTTAGAACATTTGCATTCTATGCTAAGTATGTGTACTACATACTGCAGAAATAGAATACACATAGCATGCTACATATTACTATTTCTGTAGAATGTATACTTTCTGCATGCCTTGGAATATATAGGCTGAATTTGAAGTAGCATACTACTCTTACTATAGTAATAGTAAGAGTTGTATGGTAGTATGCTATTCCGATTTCAGTCACAGACTTAATTTGTTAGTCATAATGCAGTTTACAACGGAGCACTGTGTGTTGGGTACTACTGCATATTCCACAATGTAGTGCACTGAGTCTGGCCTTTCATTTCAAGTGTGACCAAAAAAACTAAAAAGTAATATTGAAGAGTTTTTAGCATATATTTAACATGTATACTGTTTCATGTATTCTGTTTAAAAAATAGTAGGCAGTATTCAGTATATAATGTGCAGTATGCAGTTAGGGTGTTAACCATGTGTGTTAACTAACTGAAGTGTGTATTCTGCAGGAAGTGTACGTTGGTACAGAGATGATATGCACTGTGGATGGCCTACACTTCAACAGCGCTTATAAATCTCGTGTTAAAGCATTTAACTCCAGTGGAGTCGGCCAGTACAGCAAAACGCTTGTCATGCAGACATCAGAGAGTAAGAGATGTTACCTCACTGTTACACACACACACTCACTCTTAATGCACAGGGAAGCTTGAGCATGTCAGTGCAAAATAATACAGCAGATTTTTATTAGTTTTGTCAATATAGTGTGCACTTTCCACAAATAGTATATACTTTGGTGTCTTTTTTAAGCAATGGGATGCATACATTTTTGTTGTTAGGCCATCAGATACATTTTATAAACTTGTTTCTAACATAAAATTAAATTAGTAGCTAGTTTTGCATGTATGTATCACCCTTAAACTTTGTTCAAAACTAATTAACTTTATTTTATTTAACTTTTTTTTCAGATTTTATAGATGTTGTATATTTATTTTTTATGTTTTTCTTAAAAGATGAGTATCGAATATGATACATCAGGCTTTTGAGGAATATTTATTAGTATATCACTCAATCATTATTGTATTGCAAGCTATCAGAATTTCATCTTACTTTTTTCCATATAAATATCAGCAACTGCACCTAATTTCTAAATGTTCAGTTTAAAATGTTATAAAATAAAATAGCTTAATAAAAGTATGGTGTTTTTCCTCCATATTCTCGTATATAATACTATATGAGCTACAAAAGCCTGATGTATCAAATATAATATTCAACAAAAACTTTTTATTTTTTTTACATTTTATATTATAATATAATATTTTATTATTATATTCTTACATTTCAAAAATGATATTTTTATGATAATATATTAATAATAAAATAATAATATAATAACAAATATAATATGTCAGACTTAATAGGTTAATTGTAAATTACTAGAAAATAATGAAACCACACATTGTTGCATTGTTGCAAAATCATCATTTAAAAATAAATAGAAAATCAAACAGGTCTTATAATAATTAGTTTGAATTCCTGGAATTTGAGCATTTACCATTGATCATTTAATGGAAAAAAAAATTAAAGATGTTCAGGTTCTTTTTTCTACCCTATTCATGGAAAGTGCCAGTGACGTCACATTGACAGTCTGCTGTGGAGGTCTTTATGAACACCATTGTATGTCTAATTGTATGTTACTAATATAAATGAATATCATTGTTAGTGTGCTGTTAACTGTACTAACGCTCTATAGTAGTTTATTACTTGTAAGCGCTGAGTAAGTCCAGCTTCCCTGATCTGCTGCTTTCCTTCCTCTCTTTCAGTACCCAATTCTGTTACTTTCTTTTTTTTCTCTCCTTCACCCCTCTGCATTTTCTGTCCTCTGCATTTTCCACTTTTCTTTATTTCTCCAACCTTCTCTCGCTCTTTTCCCCTCTTTCTTTCTCTTGATTTCAGTGAGTCTACCTTCATATGGTAGTAAAACTCTGACAGCAGGTATGAATGCCTGAATATCTGAACATCATCATTGTTAAACTCATATACCCTTTCTTGTCTGCTTGTGTATGTTTGTTTGCGTGTGTGAGAGAGTGAGTGTGTGTTTGCAAGTTTGATTTGCAGTGTCGACTCTCTCTGTGTTCTTAAACTCATCTGGACTTTTATTCTTACTGTAAATCAAAGCTCAACCAGCCTTCATGACTGTATGTATTATGTGTGTGTTGTTTCTGCAGTTGCCTGGTTCACCTTTGACCCTGCATCGGCCCACCCTGACATCATCTTGTCCAACGACAACCTCACGGTGACGTGTAACAGTTACGACGACCGTGTCGTCATGGGCAACACAGGGTTCTCTCGTGGCGTGCACTACTGGGAGATGACCATCGATCGCTATGACAACCACCCTGACCCTGCGTTTGGAATCGCCCGGGCGGATGTCATGAAGGACGTGATGCTGGGGAAGGATGATAAAGCCTGGGCCATGTATGTGGACAATAACCGCTCCTGGTTCATGCATAACAACTCGCACACCAATCGGTATGAAGTATGCATGCTTGTGTTTTGGAACTTCTTTAGATGATAATTATGACTAAATGATTATCATGAGAATCTTAAACAATCAAATTTCTATACATAATGCTATTACTTATTCAGAAACCATGATCATTAAAGGCCATGTTGCCATGAAGCAAATTTAATGCAATTAATTACTTACCAGCTTGTTCTCTGAAAACCAATTGGTGTGGAAACAATTCTCTTTCAGAAATTGCTCATAAAGTTCACAAACAGTTACAAAGATACAGCAAGTAACACACTGAATTAAATGTGACATTTTGAAGTAGAAAAACTGAAATAGTATTTTATAATAAATCATACTCCAATAATCTTTGTTTTATTTACAACTTTTAAAAAATATTTTTTTACAGTGTAGACATCAATCACTTTTTTAAAAAAAATGCATTATATTATATTATTATGAAATTATAGAAAGAAATTCTTGGAAAGAAGCCTGATAAAGCGCCTCATCACAAATGTTCACTGTTGCCCTTGGTTACAAAGTGGATGCTATTTAAATCTTACATGAAGCAATGAATGAAGCTCATTTTAATAATTACATAAATTAATATGTTCTAAATGTTGTTGTAATAGTCCTTAGTCACATAATGACTCATAAACTACATGTTTAAAACATATATTTGTGAAATGTCAACAAAATTATTGCCAATGTTGTGACAAGGTGCCAACATAGAAGAATCCAGCAAACAAGATTTTCTGTCAAAACAGAAAATACACCCACTTACATTAAAAAAAGCATTTCTCTAGAGATTGCAAATACAACACTATTGTTACAGTTTAATAAATCACACCGCAGTTGTACCATCAGCTGGCAATATAGAAATAGCGCCTTCACCCACACAGTCACAGTGAACAATATGCTTTATTGTTTTCATTCTTTTTATCTTTCATACTCTCCCACCTTCAGTGTCTTTACCTGTGTATAGATGGCGTGGTAGAATCAGCTGTTGGATCTGAATATTATTTCTAAAGCTCCATAGGTTGTGGATTAACACGCATAAAATGTCCCAACTATCTGAGGGATATCACTGAAATAGGTGTCCTGGGAAATTACACCTGTCTCAGTGATAGTCCTAGGCTCTGTGAACAGCAAACATATCTCTACGGTACCTGTAAATTAATATGCATGTTCAGGCTTGCTGACATCTGGTTGCATGGTTTTAGACAGAAAGCATATGATGGAAAGCTGGGGCCGGTTCATTTGTGGTGGAAATGAGTAAAACTACAGCACATTCAAGTGGATGGAAAAAACGTGATGCATTACTGCCACCTGCTGCTGGTTAATATTATTCTCATGCAGAGGAGAGCAGGCTAACAGGAAGATCTGTAATATATTTGTAGGAAATGCTCAGAAAAATGTAGACTAAAAAATGACACTTTTGTGTTTTATTGAAAAACATGATTGTCTATTATAGGTCTTGCACTCTATTTGGTCAATGCATCGTCTTTCATTTATCTTCTGTTTTTGTCTTCTCCCTCTCTCAGTACGGATGGAGGAATAAGTAAAGGAGCGACTGTGGGTGTGCTGCTGGATTTCACTCGTGGGATTCTGTTGTTTTTGATAAATGATGAGCAACAGGGACCCGTTGCCTTCAACACACTGGAGGGCATGTACTACCCGGCCATCAGCCTCAACCGCAATGTTCAGGTAACATTAATTTCATTAATTCAATGAAATAAGATCCATAAAAGAATATACTTAGGTGAAAACTGATGTAATGAGATCTGTGTGGACTTTATGATGCAACACACTTTCTATCTGCTTTCAAAAAGTTATATATAAAGTATATACTAATATGCTAACTTGAAACAAAATACGATATATACAATTTTTGTGTATGTTTCTTTTCATAGGTGACTCTTCATTCTGGGCTGCCTATTCCAGATTTTTATACACCTGGAGAATCGGAAGCTGCAGGCTCAGTCTGCTGAAGAGTCATTACAACTGATACACACTCATATACAAACACACACGCACAGACAAGTATGCATGGATTCAGCTGTGAGTACTTTGTGGGGGAACTGCTGCAGACAGTCATTAATTCATTTTAACAAGTTCTGAGAGCTCTGAAATGTAAATGGACGTGATATATGTGAGGGTTAGTTAGTGTTAATTTAACCCTAACCTTAACTCTGAACCTGATGTGAGGTAAATTGATATTGAAATTCTTGAATCATTTCCCTCTCTTTCTTACACTGTTTCTAGATATGATTATTATTATTATTGATGTTGTCATTGTTGTTTTAATGGAAAAAGGTGCTCACTGATGTGAACTCCCAGATTATTGGATATTAACAGATGTCTGTCTGTTGTTTCATGATAAAATCCTCTGTGTGAAGTTAAGCTTAGAAATAAGTGACTGATGTGTTAGACCTTAGAGGATGCATTTTACATTACATAAAAATGTTCTGTTGCATATAAAGGTGATTTTAACTGCAGATGGGGACAGACACTAGAGTAAAATATCTAATATTACAACCTTCTCATTCATATTATGCCTCAGTTAATGTTATATATCCTAAACCATACCCTGAAACTCAAACTGTAAACCCTGACCCAAACCTAATCCCTAAACCTAAACTCTGTCATATTACACCTCAGTCAACGTGAGATATTTCCAGCCTTCCTTCCACATTCACAGTGGATGAGCAAACATACATTTGGGACATATTAGACGATGCCAGAATGAGCTGAATGTGTGTCAGTGGGGAGGTAATAGCTTTCAGTTTGTTGAACAGAATAGAAAACATTAATTGGGACAAATACATGCACACATACACACACACACACACAGGCATTTTCACAGCCTTGCGTAACGTATTATGGAGAGATGAGAATGAATAAACTTTTTGTTTCTCTCTCTCTCTGTTTTATTTCTCCTTTGCTGCCTCAAATCTGCACAAGCTAAACGCAAATGCTAAACAAATAACTGGTGCTGCTTATGTTCAATGTGAGAAAATATTGCAATATAAAAGAATAGAGCTGCAAATCAAAAAGAGAGACGACTTTAAACGAGACAGCATACATTGTTGCTGCTTGAAGCATCGGCTATTAGTTTACCATAAAGGATGTACTTTTGCATTAAGAAAAATATTAAAAATCCCACTGGTGGGGTTAAAATATGGAGCAGGTGCTGTACTTTATCTGTTTGTTGAGCACATGGTTTATGCTCAACAAACAATTGAATGTGGGTGCAGTGAGGGAAAATTTCACCCATTGTAAATTGTATTTTTTCATAAATGAATCCCAATATAAGAAATTAATTATCATTATTATTAATATTGTGTCTGAATTGTTGTTATCTGTAAATTTCTATGCTCAATAAACTGGATTAGGTGCAATATAAAGCTGTCTTCTGTCATTTCCCATTGAAAATAGTTTGTGCAAATTTGCAATGGCAAAACTTTGTAATAATGTTAATGTTTTAAATCGTAATAATGTGGGGTAATACACGCACACACACACAAATATTTTAATAATTTAAATAATTTCATTATTACTTTAAAGTTTAGTTGTTGTTGTTTTTTTGTTTAGTTTATCTGCACAAGAATAAAATATATACAATAAAAACAAAACAAGAAAAGTACAATCCATATACTGTGCAGGGAGATGCAGAAAACCCAAAAGGGCTTATTTAGAGCCTCCACCTAAACAATAAAGAAAACAAAAACAACTAATGAAATTAAGGAAGAAGCTAAATTACAATACCAAATATGTAAATGTGAATGATTGCTAATTAATTTTCAACATATGTCAAAAACCCAGAGATAATGTAATCCAAAAACAAACCTTATATAAAGTGATGTGACATGTGGCCAAGTATGGTGACCCATACTTGGAATTAGTGCTCTGCATTTAACCCATCCTTAGTGCGCACACACAGCAGTGAACACACACACCCGGAGCAGTGGGCAGCCATTTTTGCTGCGGCGCCCGGGGAGCAGTTGGGGGTTCGGTGCCTTGCTCAAGGGCACCTCAGTCGTGGTATTGAAGGTGGGAGAGCGCTGTTCATTCAGTCCCCCCCCCTACAGTCCCTGCTGGTACGAGACTCGAACCCGCAACCTTTGGGTTATGAGTCTGACTCTCTAACCATTAGGCCACGACTTCCCCCCATGGTACATAAAATGCATAAAGAACAAAAAACAAACAAACAAAAAACAATTACAAAGCAGCACTAAAATGATCCTTTATACATCTTATAATCAATAATATTTTTTGCTAGATGGGATAAACCATTCCATAATTTAATACCCCTCAATCTTATCAAGTTTTGACCTCTACAAGTGAGAATTTTTGGAAGATGAAAATATGAAAATTGATGAGTTAAGTGACAATGAACCTGTGAATTTACTTTAAAATACATTCTAAATTGCTCTGGAATGTTACCCTCACTTGAATATATCTTATACATGAAAACACACATTTGAAAAATATTCAATCATAATCATAAATAGTAAGAAGCTGACGTTTCTGAAATAAAGAAGCAGATGAAGTATATGCATTTGATTGGGTTGCAATCCTAACAAAATGCTTCTGAAGGATACATTTTTTATTTTTTTTGAAGAGTAGTAGTAGGAAAAGTACTCGCCCAAACTATATTACAATATGAAAGATATAGATAAATGAAACTATAGTAAAGCGTAAGAAGACACTCTGTAGTAACAAGATGCCTAACCCTACTTAATATACCGGTAGATTTATGTATATGCCTGCTCACATAATCAGCTTGTTCCCTCCAAATCAAAGTCTCATCAACAAAAACTCCCAAGAATTTTGTAGAGGCACCTCAATTGACTCAATTGTAATTTTTCATAAAGGGTATTATTTTTTACCACTAAAAATAATACAATTAGATTTTATATTTAAAGATAATTTGTTTAAATTAAACCAATTAGCAATAGCAATTAGACCATCATTTGCATTCTTAATCAATTAATTGACATTTGAGTGAGAGAAAACTAAGGTTGTGTCGTCAGCAAACATTACTGGAGTAAGAATATTTGAAACATTAGACAAGTCATTTATATAAATAAGAAATAGTAATGGTCCAAGTATGGACCCCTGAGGAACCCCACAGAGTAATCTTACTTTGCTATAATAGCAACCCTTAAATATTTAAAATGTTCGATTAAAAATGTAATTTTTCAACCATTTATATAGCCTATGTAAAATCATGAAAACTATATTAATGCAACTTTTCCCAAAAAAAACATAATGAATAAAGTGCCCCTATTATGGATTTTTGAAAATTACCTTTCATGCAGTGTGTAACACAGCTCTAAGTGAATTAAAACATTCTGCAAAGTTTTAAATCTGAAAGTGCACCGTGTATAAAGTTATTGTCTCTCAAAAGAAAGAGTCGAGTCTGAATCATTGAAATGAGTCGTTTTTAAAAACGAATCCCAAGCAGTTTCATGTTGAAGTCAACATGAAACATTAGCATATTGCCCGCCCATGTTGGTCTTTCTGCTTTGGCCTGAATGAAAATGCAGTCATTCTTTGCCACTAGGTGCCGCTTTTGGAGCAGTAAAATAGCAGTTTCCCCGGTAACGCTGTACACAAAACAGCACTGCGCTCACAAACGCTGCTTTATCAGGCATTACAGGCAAGATCCAATCAGACCAATCACCGCAGATTAGCGTCACACAAAGGAGGGGTTTGGAAAAATTTTGGGAGTCGTTGAGCAAGTAAGGTAAAAAATACATGCATATTATAAGACAATGAAAGTGTTTTTTGACCTTGCATGCATGTCAACCTGTTGTTGGGGGTGCCCAAAACCAAACTATGAACCTTTCATTACCCTCAATAGGGGCACTTAACTGTATCAAAAGTTTTTGACAGGTCTAAAAAAAATGCTAATTTTTTTTTCAAGTATATTCTTGATTTTCAAATGCAAGGGTAACCTTGTCAATCAGGTGAAGCAAAGCCATATAAGTAGAGTATTTTTTTAATCCACATTGATGTTTGTAAAGAATAGACTTTGAATCTATGTGAAAAAGATTCAGTTTATATATTATTTTTTCTAAAATATTTGAGAATCATGGCAAAAATAGATTTTAAAAATTCATAAAATTTTTGAGCTATATCAAATGGACTATTAAACGAAATGTCGCCATCCACAAAGTCTGAAGGTAGCTTTGAAGTAGTCTTTTCTCTTTGCAGCAACTGATTTATTATTCATTTATATAAGATTTATAGGTGAGAGGAGTAGGATTTAGAACATATTTTCTGTCAAGTTTGTTCTTTGTCCTCAACATTTTCCAGCTGTAAACCAAGATTTATAAAGTCCTGACTGAATTTCTTCACATGCAGAACTACTAACTGGAAGGCATTTATTAAAACTAGAACTAATAATGGTCATAAATTGTTGATATGCTCTATCAGCATCAGAGATAATGTAATCCAAAAACAAACCTTATATAAAGTGATGTGACATGTGGCCAAGTATGGTGACCCATACTTGGAATTAGTGCTCTGCATTTAACCCATCCTTAGTGCGCACACACAGCAGTGAACACACACACCCGGAGCAGTGGGCAGCCATTTTTGCTGCGGCGCCCGGGGAGCAGTTGGGGGTTCGGTGCCTTGCTCAAGGGCACCTCAGTCGTGGTATTGAAGGTGGGAGAGCGCTGTACATTCAGTCCCCCCACCTACAGTCCCTGCTGGTACGAGACTCGAACCCGCAACCTTTGGGTTATGAGTCTGACTCTCTAACCATTAGGCCACGACTTCCCCCCATGGTACATAAAATGCATAAAGAACAAAAAACAAACAAACAAAAAACAATTACAAAGCAGCACTAAAATGATCCTTTATACATCTTATAATCAATAATATTTTTTGCTAGATGGGATAAACCATTCCATAATTTAATACCCCTCAATCTTATCAAGTTTTGACCTCTACAAGTGAGAATTTTTGGAAGATGAAAATATGAAAATTGATGAGTTAAGTGACAATGAACCTGTGAATTTACTTTAAAATACATTCTAAATTGCTCTGGAATGTTACCCTCACTTGAATATATCTTATACATGAAAACACACATTTGAAAAATATTCAATCATAATCATAAATAGTAAGAAGCTGACGTTTCTGAAATAAAGAAGCAGATGAAGTATATGCATTTGATTGGGTTGCAATCCTAACAAAATGCTTCTGAAGGATACATTTTTTATTTTTTTTGAAGAGTAGTAGTAGGAAAAGTACTCGCCCAAACTATATTACAATATGAAAGATATAGATAAATGAAACTATAGTAAAGCGTAAGAAGACACTCTGTAGTAACAAGATGCCTAACCCTACTTAATATACCGGTAGATTTATGTATATGCCTGCTCACATAATCAGCTTGTTCCCTCCAAATCAAAGTCTCATCAACAAAAACTCCCAAGAATTTTGTAGAGGCACCTCAATTGACTCAATTGTAATTTTTCATAAAGGGTATTATTTTTTACCACTAAAAATAATACAATTAGATTTTATATTTAAAGATAATTTGTTTAAATTAAACCAATTAGCAATAGCAATTAGACCATCATTTGCATTCTTAATCAATTAATTGACATTTGAGTGAGAGAAAACTAAGGTTGTGTCGTCAGCAAACATTACTGGAGTAAGAATATTTGAAACATTAGACAAGTCATTTATATAAATAAGAAATAGTAATGGTCCAAGTATGGACCCCTGAGGAACCCCACAGAGTAATCCTATAATAGTATAATAGCAACCCTTAAATATTTAAAATGTTCGATTAAAAATGTAATTTTTCAACCATTTATATAGCCTTCATGAAAACATGAAAACTATATTAATGCAACTTTTCCCAAAAAAAACATAATGAATAAAGTGCCCCTATTATGGATTTTTGAAAATTACCTTTCATGCAGTGTGTAACACAGCTCTAAGTGAATTAAAACATTCTGCAAAGTTTTAAATCTGAAAGTGCACCGTGTATAAAGTTATTGTCTCTCAAAAGAAAGAGTCGAGTCTGAATCATTGAAATGAGTCGTTTTTAAAAACGAATCCCAAGCAGTTTCATGTTGAAGTCAACATGAAACATTAGCATATTGCCCGCCCATGTTGGTCTTTCTGCTTTGGCCTGAATGAAAATGCAGTCATTCTTTGCCACTAGGTGCCGCTTTTGGAGCAGTAAAATAGCAGTTTCCCCGGTAACGCTGTACACAAAACAGCACTGCGCTCACAAACGCTGCTTTATCAGGCATTACAGGCAAGATCCAATCAGACCAATCACCGCAGATTAGCGTCACACAAAGGAGGGGTTTGGAAAAATTTTGGGAGTCGTTGAGCAAGTAAGGTAAAAAATACATGCAT